TTACATACTAAACTTGTAAATGCAAGCTGACATACTTTCAAAGGTCAGCCCCAGAACCAAGTCCTGGACCTTTCTTTAAAGAAGCACCAACAAATATTGAAAGTACACATAAAACTGGAAACCTAATTCTTCCACTTACAAATTTGGAACTCTGGCTAAAAAAAAGCCAATCTATAGTCAAATTATTTTAAATAGTAATGTTTTCATTTTGCTCGTTGGGGAAATAAATGACTACAAATCTACAGAACAAACAGAGTGGAAGACGGAACTGAAAGATTATATGCTTAAGGAATAATGTGAAGTTTTCAACTTTTCAAAATAAAAATGTGACACCAGGGTCAGAGTGACAACCCAGTAGGTAGGAAATCTGCCTTGCATGCAGTCAACCACGTTCAATTCTTAGCACCCTATATGGTACCCCAAACCTGCCAGGAGAGATCCCTGAGCAGAGAGCCAGGAGTAAGTCTTTGCACTGCTGGGTCTGGCCCAAAAGCAAAACAAAAAATGTTGTGTCAATTCTGCATGTTAAGTAGGTTGAAGTTCTGGAACATGTATGACTACTCTGTGATTTATAAATGGAAAAAGAAAATCTAATTTGCAATAAAGTCAAATGTAAAGAAATGAACATCAAAGTAAAACTATAATTACTTACAGATATGACTACATATATGTCTATATAAAGCCAAAATATTGCATTTGAAAGTATTATAAACAATGTGTAGCAAAGTGACTGACTAAATGTCAATTTAAAAAATATGTTGTATTTCTATAAGTTAATAATAAGAAGAAATAACGAAAAAAGCTATGCTACTTGCAACTGCACTCAAAGGAATTAAAAACCAAGAAATGAATTAACGAAGAAGGTTAAGAAATATATACAATGAGAACTGCAAGATACTAAAAAAGACACAGAGTAAGACACAGAAAAGCAATTAATACAGTAAAATCTCCATCTCACCAAGAATAACATACAAATTTAATGCAATCCCAAATAAAATTTCAATAACACTTTTCAAGGAAACAGAAAAATCCAAGGACCTTGAAATAAAAGACTGAATAGCTCTGGCAATCCTGAGGAGAAAAACTAAGCATTATGTTACCTGATTTCAGACTATGCTACAAAAAAAAAAAAAATAGCACTCAAAGTTATATGTGGTACTGCAATAAAACAGGCAAACAGATCAATAAAATTGAAAGAAAAGGTCAGAAATAAATCCACACATTTATCAATATTTAAACTTATGACAAAGGATGTAAAATTACACAATGGAGGAAATAGAAACAAATAGGCATGGGATAACTAGATAACAAATTTTAAAATAATAAAACTATTCTCTAACCCCATATAGCACTGTAGCACTGTCCTCCCTTTGTTCATCAATTTGCTCAAGCGGGCACCAGTAACGTCTCCATTGTGAGACTTGTTACTGTTTTTGGCATATAGAATATGGCACGGGGAGCTTGCCAGGCTCTGCCGTGCAGGCTGGATACTCTCAGAAGCTTGCCAGGCTCTCCGAGAGGGACGGAGGAATTGAACCCAGGTAGGCCGTATACAAGGCAAACGCCCTACCTGCTGTGCTACTGCTCCAGTCCCTAACTCCATATACAAAAACTATAGTTGATTAAAGACCTAGATATAAATCCTAAAACCATAAAGCACACAGAAAATAACATAGGTGAAACATTATCATGCGGGATGTTTGACCCCAGCAGCAAGGAAATTCAAGTGAAGACAAACAATTGTGACTACATTAAATTGAAAAGCTACTGTATAGAAGAAAATAATAGGGACCAGAGCGATAGTACAGCAGGTAGGGCATTTGGCATTTGCCTTGCACACGGCCGACCCGGGTTCGATCCCCGGCATCCCATATGGTCCCCCAAGCACCGTCAGGAGTAATTCCTGAGTGCATGAGCCAGGAGTTACCTCTGAGCATCACTGGGTGTGATCCAAAAAAGCCAAAAAAAAAAAAGAATATATGTAGAATGAATACAAAGCCTACTAAATGGAATGAGAGTTCCATACCATACGTCTCATAAGGTGTTAATATCCAATGTCTAAATAGAACTCACATAACACATAAACCCAATCCATAAATGGGTAAAAGATTTGAATGAATATTTCTCCAAAGACAGACAAAGACAAAGACATAGATGGTCAACAGGCACATGAAATAACATCATTGATGATCAGGGAGATGCTAATTAAGACAATATGAGATATCACCTTACATATGGATGACAAAAAGACCTCTTCTGCCTGTTGGGAGTAATGTAAATTGGTGGGCTGGGAAATCATACAGACCTGTTGGCCCACCTTGGTTTGAAGCCCTGCACAAAATTATTTCCCAATATTTCTGGGCATAACCCTGGAGGTCCCTGCCAAGTAGTGCTGGGTATGACCCTGAGTGTCCCCCAGCGCTACGGAGGTGGTCCCCAGTACTGCAAGTTTCCAGTAGCACCACATTCTCCAGCCTCTGCACTGAATCACCCAATTGGTTGGCCAAGAATCACCAGGAGTAAGAATGGAGAGATAATTCATTTGCTTACCAGGCACTGATCCTAGTTTGATCCCTCATACCACATATGGCTCCCTGAGCACTACCTGGAATGTCCTTGAAGTACAGAGTCAGGAGTCAAACTAAGTACAACTAGGTTTGGGGAAATTTTCACACATCCACACACAATGAATTTGGTTCAGGAATTCCACATACTATTCCATCTTTAAAATGCCACATTTGGGGCTGGAGCATAGGGGGTAAGACATATGTCTTGCACACGACTGACCCGGGTTTTGTTTCCAACTTCCAGGATGCCCCTGAGTCTACTAGGTGTGATCCCTGAGCATATGGCCAGGAGTAAGGCCTCTGCCTGTCTCTATGGCAGGCACTTTCAGTATCAAGACTGCAAACCACAATTCCCAAAAGGAGAGAGAGAGAGAGAGAGACAGAGAGAGAGACAGAGAGACAGAGAGAGAGACAGAGAGAGAGACAGAGAGAGAGACAGAGAGAGAGACAGACAGAGAGAGACAGAGACAGAGAGAGAGACAGAGAGTAGAAAAATATTTTTAGCTGACTACTAATAGTAAAAAAGGAGTGAATAAGTCTTTGGAGATCTTTAAGTTAAAAGCTTAAAATATGAGAAATACTGTTGCATCGTTGTTGTTAAGTGCTAAGGAACATGTGCTTTGCTAATATACTATTTACCCAATACCAAAGAACATTCTTTAATCTTTACTGCCAGTCACAACTTGATGTAACTTGTATTTAATATGATGATAATTCCAGTATTCTGTCCCATCTTCAATTTTTTTTTCCTTTTTTGGGTCACACCTGGTGGTGCACAGGGGTTACTCCTGGCTCTGCACTCAGGAATTACCCCTGGCGGTACTCAGGGGACCATATGGAATGCTGGGAATTGAACCTGGGTCTACCGTGTGCAAGGCAAATGCCCTACCCGTTGTATTATTGCTTCAGCCCCCGATCTTCAATTCTTACTTTGAGAATTAAGATTGTAAGACTCTCATGGGGTTAACATGAAATAGTACTTGTAATATGTCCAGGATAAAATAAGCAGTGAAAAATTGTAGGTGCCTGCTATGATGGTAAAATCAGTAAGTGGACAAAGCCATCACAGTCTATGACTTGGAGAAAGTTAGAATTAACACTGAAGACTGAGCTGTCACATGAAACTTCTGCTCAAGAATCATTTTTGCATTTACCCACTTCTGCAATCTCTTTCTTACATTAATCCCAGAGAGAGCTGAGAATCTTGTCTGCAGCAGAACAAAGTAAAAGAGAGGTCTCTGAAGAACATTTTGCAACAAAAGAGATAAGGGCTTTCAACTCTTTTCCCACTAGGAGCTAAAGGTACTTTTCCTTGTGTTTGTGTCAAATGGCTTCATTTCTTTTTGAATGACCAAGATGTAAGAAGGCTTAAATTTGTATGTATATATGTATGGGTACCTCTTATTGTACATTAATACATTAATTAATACACGACCTCTTATTGTCTAGTTCTCGCTCTCAGAGAACCTAGCAGGCTACTGACTGACAGTATCCTGCCCACATGGTAGAGCCTGGCAAGCTCCCAGTGGTGTATTCAATATGCCAAAACCCTGTAACAATGATGGGTCTCATTCCCCTGACCCTGAAAGAGCCTCCAATGTGGCACTTGCTAAAATCTCAGGGCTAGGACGAATGGAGATATTACTGGTGCCAGCTAAGCAAATCAATGAGCAACGGGATGACAGTGATACAGTGACAGTGATGTGTATGTGTACACAACACACACACATGCACACACGTATATATATTTTATTTAATCTTTTCATCACTTACAATGATTTTATATATTCCAAAATAAGATATTCTATGCAGAGGAAACAAAAATTTAAGTACTCCTTACAACCAATAAAAATTCTAAAAGCCTTTCCTGCTGATTTGTTATTCATTATTATGGCTACTGAGGAATAAGAACAACATTAGCAATCAAATAATTTTATCAACCAAATGCACTTTATGTTGTATACAATGCATATATATGTGTATAAATGAATGTGTGTATATCTACATATGCATGTATATATTCATGTGTGTATATATATGTGTGTGTGTGTGTGTACAGACACATATGTACCCACAAAAATTGAATACTATTTAAATGGACCTAGGGGCCAGAGAGACAGTACAGCAGGAGGGGACTTGCCTTACATGTAATCATCCCAGGTATTGTTCTTAGATCCCATATGGTCCCCAGAAACTGCCAGGAATCATTCTTGAGCAGAGAATAAGGAGTAACCCATATCACTGGGGTGCTCCAAAACCAACCAAACAAAAAATGAAGTCTAAGACATTCATTCCCTGAATAATGACAGTGACACTGCAGCTACTCTCTGGGTAAAGATACCAGCAAAGAAGGAATGTTTTATTGACTTTGGTGTGAGAGAAAATTAAATATCAAGTTCAAATAACTAGTTCAGTAGAATCAAAGAGAAATACCTGCAGGCTTTCAATGTCTTCTTTGTGTTTCCTCTTCAAGTGTAAAATGGCAGCTTGATATTCTGTAAAAATAAAAAAGCCAATTACCAAAAAATGCACAAAATTATGCATAAAAGTCAAGGGCCCTCCCCTACAAGGAAACTGAGTAAGTGCCTGGTGGATCTTAACCTGTCAAGAGCGGTTGAAAATTGGGAAAAGATACAGCAAAGTTCAGGATGTGGGGGAGATTTTCCTTCCATCTAGCACAATGAATTATGAAAAGCCCCAAATTAAGAACATAGGATAAGGATTTAAAAAATAATTTAAAAAAAAAAATAATACTATGCCTCTCATTTGACCCAGCAATACCACTCCTGGTAATATACCCTGGAGAGGCAAAAAAGTATAGTCGAAGTGACATCTGCACTTCTTTGTTCATTGCAGCACTGTTTACAATAGCTCGAATCTGGAAAAAACCTGAGTGCCCGAGAACAGATGACTGGTTAAAGAAACTTTGGTACATCTACACAGTGGAGTACTATGTAGCTGTTAGAAAAAATGAAGTCATGAAATTTACATACAAGTGGTACTACATGGAAAGTATCATGCTAAGCGAAATGAGTCAGAAAGAGAGGGACAGACATAGAAAGATTGCATTCATTTGGGGAACATAAAGTAACAAAATAGGAGACTAACACCCAAGCATAGCCAAGATAAATACCAGGAGGTTTACTCCATGGCTTGGAGGCCAGCCGCACACTCTAGGGGTAAAGGCAGCTCAGATAGAGAAGGGAGCACTAAATAAAGGGTATTGGGGAGATCCGCCAAGGATGGGAGAACCATGCTGAAAGTTGACTATAGACTGAACATGATTGCCACTCAATTCCTCTTTTGCAAACCAGGCACCCAAAAGGAAAGAGAGAACAAAAGGGAGTGACCTGCCACAGAGGCAGGGTGGGATGGGGGGTTGGGGGGTGGGAGGGATACTGGGATTAGTGGTGGTGGAGAATGGGCACTAGTGGAGGGATGGGTACTCGATCATTGTATAACTGAAACCCAAGCACAAAAATTTGTAAGTCTACAACTGTACCTCATGGTGTTTCACTAATCAAAATTAAAAAAAAAATATGTCACATAGGATTTGAGAAAGTACAATAAAACAATAATGATTTAACGAAAAAAAAAATATTATGCTCCAGGTAAGGACTGGGTCAGGAGTCAGATTTTGTCTTTAAGGAGGAACTGAAAGCTAAGGCCCCACAGAGAACAAATACAGATGTATTAGGAGCAGACACACAGGAAATAAAAGAAAATGTTCTAAGTGAGATCAGAGAACTCTATTTTTAACTTAGCATTCAAGAAAGAATCTCCATTTGAATGCAAGGCTAAGCACCAAGAGCTGATTTTAATCTTTAGATCCTTCAGAGAGCTTGTCATTTGAATGAGTGTGTCTAGGGTGAGTTAAGGTTGAAAGGAGGACAAAAATAAATTTCTGGTCCAATTTTAGCATGAGTTTAATGATGTTTATTCCAATAACAAGTCCCAAATCTGCACAGGAACTCAAGCCAACCACTAAAACAGCCATACTGCTGCCTAATCACAGAGCAGCCAAGACGTTGCAGCAAGAGGCTTGTTACGTGGGAACCCAAAAGTCTAGATCCTGTACATAACCACGAAACAAAATGCTCTAAGAAAACATAGTGTGTGTGTGTGTGTGTGTGTGTGTGTGTGTGTGTGCGCGTGGGGGAGGGGAGGTCAGCGGAGTGGAGGAGTGGAATAAACTGGGTTTCTGCTTTGGTTTTTTTGTTTTGTTTTGTTTTTAACAAATGCATTTGGGATTGTAAATATGAGAAAGTCAATTATATGTCATTTAAAAGTGTAAAGGGACAGATAGCACAGGGGTTATGGTGCTGGCCTTGCATGTGGATGACCCCAGCTGCATCTCCTGAGCACAGCCTGAAGAAGCACTGGAACAACAATGGCGTGACTCACACTCCTTTATTCTCCCAAATAAATAAAATGTCTTTGAAAAGATAGGCTATTTCTAAAAGTGAATTTGAGAACCCTGGCATGAATGTTTAGTTTAAGTTAGGAAGTGGATGAGGATTTAAAGTGGATTTATTTCTTGCATAAATAAACTGGATAGGAGAGTTGCTGTTGCTGAGAATGACTAAGCCCACCACTGGTTTTAGAACAAATGCCCTGCACTGCGTGATAAATTCATCAACAAAGCACTGTGGGTTCTACAATCAGACTTAATCAAATCAGAGTGACCACTATGATTCAAATCAACACCATCTTCCTCCTAGATCACAGCAGTCATCTAAAACTACTAGTCTTTACCGCCACCACCACGCCCTGTTTGGATGATTTCATGGCAGCCAGAGTGATCTATTAAAATATAAATCACATCAACTCTCATCCTTTCCACCACACTTTGAGTAAAATCACAACTTCCACGTGTAGCCTCTGAGACTTTAATGAGCTGGCACTACACACCACTTCTCTATATCTTCTCCTGAACTACTACTATACTATAACATAATGCTTTTTAACTATTCCTCATGTTTGCCATGTCCCTTTACACCACAAGACTTTTTTTCTAGTACTGGATGGAGACAATGAAAACAGCTATTTACTGAACACTGAACTATAGATTAGGTGTTATTTACTTCATATAAATTTATACACTTACACACACACATATATAGTGCAGAGGATGTGAGTATATATAGCCCTTTGTACAACAGCCCTGATGTGCATGCCATAATATCTACATTGCAGAGGAAGAAATCAGTGAGAAGTGAGGTAGTGGGTCAAAGAAGGTGAACACGCTGCAGAATTGAAATCATGCATAACTGAACAGAAAAAAAAATGCTTAAATTATGGCATGCCTGTAGAATAGACAGTTACACAACAATAAGGACTGAGCAATATAGATGCATCACCATACAAATAATGAATCTGAAAGACCACGCAGAGTGAAGAAAATTGACTGTAACGAATAAGTATTGGAGCTTATTTGTTTTTAAGCCCATTTTCTCCCCTGAAGATGTGTCTTGAGTGCTTGTCTCTATTTCTTTGCTCGCTTACTTTGGAGAAATCTGTCTTCTCTCCCAAATACATAACTTTACTCTTTTTCTATCCTCAGACCTTTCTAAATAAATTTCAATAAAAACTACCATGCCTCTCACAGACACAGAAAAGAGTAAGTATTGTTCTAATTTATAAGTATTGTTAGAATGAGATTTATTAAATTCCTTTTCTATACATTCTATAAAAGACCAAACCACAGTGACAATAGATCAGGGCAGCAGATTAGTACAGAATGTTCGAGACGGAGGAAGGTTTAACCACAAAGGGGCAGCACACAGAAAAGTTTGGGGCAATGAGACTATTCTCTACCCTGATTAGGGGATGGTTATATGAATATACACATGGGCTAAATGTCAGATTCATATACTGAATCAAAAAATAGGTTATTATGGGGCTGGAGTGATAGCACAGCAGTAGGGCATTTGCCTTGCGCACAGCCAGCCCGGCTGAGCCGGGTTTGATTCCTCCGCCCCTCTTGGAGAGCCTGGCAAGCTACCAAGAGTATTCAATATGCCAAACACAGTAACAAGAAGTCTCACAATGGAGACGTTACTGGGCCCGCTCGAGCAAATCGATGAACAACGGGAGGGCAGTTTGTTTTGGCAGTATGGGACTGGAGTGCTATCACAGTGGGTAAGGCCTTTGCCTTGCATGCAGCCACCAGGTTTCGATTCCCAGCATCCCATATGGTCCCCTCAGCACCACCAGGAGTAATTCCTGAGAACATGAGCCAGGAGTAACCCCTGTGCATCATTGGGTATGACCCAAAAAAAAAAAGTTTATTGTGTTCATGTTTTTAAATCTATCTAAATATTTTACATAAATATTGTCCTTAGAAGACCCAGCATAGAATAAGACTAGATGTGTTAATATCACTTCTACTCATCATTTTCCTATGGGTTTCAGGGGAGGAACCTATGCTCACACACATTTACACATCAAATGGGAAAGGAAATAATGATTCACTGTAAATGCATATTTAGAAAAATCCGAAAGATACAGCAGATAAATGAACTTGAAAAACAATGGCTAAGATAGTGTATAAGTGTCTCAAATCATTCCTACAGAGCTATTCAAAATGAAAAGTAGGGTAGGAAGGCACTCTAAAAGAAGAACATATAAAGAACCAGCAAATATATTAGAAGATGTTCGTTCTGATTAATAATCAGGACTACTTCTTCTATGGGTAAAGAAGTGGAATAAAAGAAATTCAAATACTGTGACAGGAGTAAAAGTAGTTCAGTTACTATGGGAAAATGGGCATTTTCAATAGAATTAAAAGCTAATCCTGTCCCCCTCCCCCCTAATCATAAGTACAAATAAAACTTAAGTACAAAGGAAAGATAATAATAATAATAAACTGTCACTGTCCTCCCATTGCTCATCGATTTTCTTGAGCGGGCCTAGTAACATCTCCATTGTGAGACTTGTTAATGTGTTTGGCATATGGAATATGTCACGGGGAGCTTGCCAGGCTCTCTGAGAGGGGCGGAGGAATCGAACCCGGGTCGGCCACTTGCAAGGTGAATGCCCTACAGCTGTGCTATGGCTCCAGCCCCATTGCTTTCTAACCCTAAAAACGAGATGATGATGATAATAATAATAATAATAATAAAATAATTAATAAACATCAAAATAATGATAGTACCCAGGAGAAGCAGTATGAGTTATATTATAAAAAGACAGTGGTAGAGGAGCTTTCAACCAAAAAATATTCTACATGTTTTATACCATCTTCTATATGTAACCCAACACTAAAAGAAGGGTTGAAAAAAGACTGTCCTGTGGCTGGGGATATGGTTTGGTGGTAGAGCACATGTTTTGCATGTGTGTGAAATCCTGGGTTCAATCCCCAGTTCCCCCGTTCCCCCATACAAAAAGACTGCTCCAGTTATAGTAATTTTCTCACATCAAATAGTCTATAGGTCCAAAACAATCTTTATTTTTTTTTCTTTTTCGTCACACCCGGCAATGCACAGGGGTTACT